CACGTCAATCGAAATTCAGTGGCAGATTCCATGACAGTCTATTCTAGTAGGTTTTTTGTGTCTTCTTGGATATCCAGTGAAATGTAGCTCCCTGTTTCAGGTCATCATAATGACATTATTTTTACTGGTGCGGAGGTCAAGGTAATAGACCCATAGTTGCCTCATCAGCAATCACACATTCACTGGCCAACGCAGGTCTTTTAGACAATTTTCTGAGTCCACTCGAAGTTGCTTACTAGGACGCTTAAAGGTAAAGTTGCATTTTGGGAATACTTTTAGGCTCTATTCTTTGGTAGCTACATTTATATACTACCAAATTTCCTCTCTCAGTTATCTTGTTTTTAACCTCGTTTTTTCCATCCATGAATCTTCCAGGTATCATGTTAAGTAATAAGGTTGCTACTACATCTTACGCTTTGGCAACTGGGAAAAGCTACAGAGGTGTGGACACCGAGGTCAGTAGTTGGTCTAAAATCTCAGTCACGAGGGACAGGATTGGGAAAAACTCAAACTGTCTTTCGAAAACATTCCCCAGAGTAGTGTTTATAATTCGAATCACTCAACTCCAACACCTTCACTAGACCTCCAACAGAGAAACTGAGACGTCACTCCTCCGAATCCTACTTCTAAAAAGACCAGTAGGTCAAAGAAGAACGAGAGAAAAAGGCGTCCTTAGGTCCAGTCGACACAGTCTTCCGTCCAGAAATCGTAAAGAAATGACTGTATCGCCTGCTCAATGCTAGTCAAAATCATTGACTCTGCTGTTGAATGCAACTCCTGCAGTATGTGGGTTCATTGTCACTGCGACACTATAGTACCTTCAGAGTACTATGGCTTCATGATGAGTCACACCTGTCCGTGGTTCTGGTATATCTATCTAGGCTGCAGAGTAACTGAGGCATTGACGAAGTACTAGGCCCCACTCAAAGTCAGCTTAAAAGTCCCAAGTGATAAACCTAAATCGCTCGTCACTAAACTAGTGAAACAGGTGACCAAGGATACCAAGACTCAGACCAACGTGCCTGTTGTTGTTTGATAAAATACTCTTGGTTAAAGATTTCAACTCCCAATCTCTAAAGACCAGCACACAGGGCACAACTTCCCGTGGTTGGTTCCAAAGACGACTTGGCTCAGCCATTAGAAGCTCTGGTCTGGCTGAGTGTGTATGCAATGCCACTAGATGGACTAAGGATGAACAATCCCCAATCCCGGATTATTTGTTAACAAATGATGAGCCCCTGGTCGAGGATGTTCATGTCCATAAATCAAAAGGCTGTAGTGACCATGGCACAGCCTTGTTAAATATGGTCAGAAGAGGAAACCTCACACAGGACTAAAACGAGCCCTATCTTTGCTACACTAGGATGAACTACATGCATATTATAGAGAATCTTCTGCAAGTTCCATGGCCACGAGAATGGGGGAGGCTGAAAGTAGATGATCTCTGCTAACAGTGAGAGACATCATCCAGAATACTGTCATAGAAAATGTACCTTAAGCACACCACGACCCGGAAATAGAACATTGGTTAGGCGCGGCAAAGAACGCTTACCACAGGCAAAAGGGAGAGCCTTGGACAAGTGGAGGGTAACCTCGAAGGATTCTGATCGTATTTCTTACTTGGCATTGAGAAGCACATGCAATATCAAAGTTTGGGGTGATAGGAAACGCTTTCAGATTAAGCGAGCCATCCAAATACAGGAAAACCCTAAGCATCTGTTTAGGTTCACGACGAAAAGGAACCCGGCCTATCGGGGTTTGTGTTCTCTCGAAGGTCCGAATGGGGATTTCACCAACCTAGAGATGGCTGAGATCTTCAGCACTAACTTTACCGATCATTCAAACCCGGCATCCACATGTTCAGAGTACTACGCAAACCCAGTGACAGCTGACGGCTTAGGGAATATCCGTATTAGTCGTGACTAAGTACTGAGGAGACCAAAATCCTTGCGCCCAGGAAATTCCTCAGGACGTAGCGAAGTTCGCCCCATAGTCTTGAAACAATGTGATGAGGCTCTCTGTTCACTGATATTTGGCCTGTTCAGGCATTCACTGGAATCAAACCTACTCTCGGCTGAATGGAAACCATCTTCAAAAGAGGATAAAGGAAGGACTCAGCCTGTTACTACCAATACTATCGAAGGTAATGAAATGGCTGGTGAACGAACAGATGAGGGAGTACATGGATAAGAACAAAGTCCTCCATGAAGCTTAACGCGGGTTCCGGAAACGCAGTTCATGCGCATCCAATATTCTCACTGCAAGGGACAGTTAGACAACCTGCTGGAACCAAAACATGCCCGTGTACATAATATTTCTTGACTTTTCGAAAGCCTTCGACACAGTTCCCTACGCACGCCTAATAGCAAGTGTTGCGGAATGGGCTTTACTGACCCACTCCTATCTTTGCTCAGAAACTACCTTGAGAATAGAAAGTTTCGCACTAAGGTAAGTAGCGTGCACGCGAGTTGGCGAGTCTCAACAATGGGAGTTTCACAGAGAACTATTCTAGGTGCGCTTCTTTTCCTGATATCTAGTAACGACCTGTTAGTCAACGTAGGCTCGTCAGCTTGGTGCTATCATCCCAGGAATATTCTTTACATTGCCTAATTCATACGCGCTCCAACGCCTGGAGGTTCACAATGCCGTCGCACCCCTTCTGCTTGAAAGTGACATAAATCTCTTAGATCGAGTACAGATACGAGCAGCGAAATCGGTGATAGGGTTGAAGAATAAAACCTACGAAGACAGACTCCAGTACATGCGAGTATTCCCTCTGAGTTACTGGAGAATCAGAGGTGATCTGATTATGGCTTACAATGGCAATCCTCGAAAAATTGCGTATCAAAGAGCAAATACTCGGGTTCAAACATACTTTTTCTCATTATGGTTCGCTGCAACTTGGTGTGTTCTCCCAGCCGAGGTGACTACAGGCCGCTCAGAGAACAGCTTAAAGAAGAGACTTGATAAACACGTACTCACACACAGATTATCATCTCTCTCGTGGAGAAACCGTGCCCGATGCATGTATTAAGACATGCTAATTGTCATTATTGCCATTTCCTCAGATGACTAACTTACGCTATCTCACAGAGTATCTGGGTAACTAAATCTGGATAAACAGTTTATTCATGACTCCTTAAACAACGGTAATAAAGATGACTAGATAAAATATCACCAGAGTATCAAATCTTTGTGCCATTATTATCATGTTTTATAGATCTAAATTATCTCTGACAATTTAGTTCTTATGAATTTCTTCTATTCATAAGATTATTTGCCAATTCGTCATCTTACCAGTGACTTGTCTTCACTAACTTACAAAAGTGCAGATGAACAATTGGTGTCATAATATAGGGAAGGAAAGATCTGAGTAATCATACCTGTTTTATCCAAAAGTATTATCCACTGAATCATAACTCAACCTTAAGAATATTTTATGTTCTGCCGCTTGTTCCTTTCTCTTTATTTGATTTTTTCAACATCTGATCATAACCCTTAAATATTAGCCTTGTTAAATGCCAAATATTTGGTTAATATCTGACGAATCTCAACAAGAAGATCAATTCACACTTTTTACATCAATTCTAGATATATGCTGACCTGGATTTACCTTGTATTTGTGCTCAGTTAGCACCAACGCAACCGTTGTAAGTCGTGCAAACTATCGTATTGTACGTTGCGGAGTCTGAAAACGTGTCTATAATTTTCCTTGAGAATTTTTAGCCATCTATAAGCAGTCAATGTAGCTTGTGAAATATTTAAGCAACCTTTCAAAAAAAATATGTTGGTACTTTTGAAATTTTGATCTTGCCTGTAAGTTGGCATGCCCCTCATAACATGTTATCACTTGAAAAAAAATTATTATTTTATTAATATGACAGATTAACATCTTCCTCTCAGATTTGTTATGCCTAATGCATATATCGTGACTGATCTAATGTTATAGTTGTCAGTTACTGTCAGCTTATTTCTTCATCGCTCATTATCGTTTCCGTTTGTCCGTCATTCCAGCACTTCATCCAGCTCATACCGTCTACACTAACAATCAGTCAATTCGCTTACTCAGTTACTGGGACAATTTTCTCGCAGCTTCAGTGGCTCCTCTTTATTATTTTCGAAATCGAGGCCGACCAACCTCCTGACCGTTAATATGATTCCGTTGGTATCCAGAAACTATACCACCTTGCGACAAGCGCACTCGCTCAGATAACAAGATATATTAATTCATGGGTAATGACCAGACTGATTAGAAAGCTTGCGTTTGAGTAGACTGGACAACCGCCCATCAAATACTTGGATCCATACTGAAACAAAAGGCAGCGAATGCAAAGGAACCAGTTCGTAAATATTTATTTGTCGCTGTGATATTTAATGTGAGACTGCGAATATTCGAAGTTTGACGACGTCATTGTTCGTACCAATCTTAAACTCAGTAATGAAAGATTGCTAACATGTATTTAAAAAATAATCCGTATGTTGATAAATAATGACCTAAGCTGGCTAGATGTTGCATGTGACTGCTTAGCAAGGGGTATGCACAAGTGATCTAGTGAGGATGCATAACTGAGGGTCTTCAGCTAAAGTATAGTCAGTAAAACTAATGAAGTCAGCGTCAATATTGAAGAGTTTATGAACTACATATTTTAGTTATTCACTAACTGATTCATATATATTCACAAAGAAGTCTTATTTTTCCTCGCTAGTTCAAACGTTTTAACCGTTGATTACACCGCATGGAAACCACTTTTCTCACTTTGATTGAATTAACTTCATTGTGCTTCCGGAAACAATTCCACATTTAAACCAATGATGAACCAGTTTTCGGTCTGAACGTAAGGCGAACGAACAAACGTTTATTCGATCAGGCCGAACTGCATTCTTTCGTATAGTGAACAAAGCATTTTTGAGTTATTGGTGACACATTATATCGAAACACAAATCCTATGTTCAACTGGACTATTAACGAAAGACGAATGTTAATGTGTGATAAACACAAAGTATGGCTACGTGTCTTGTTCTAAATTTAGATACATATAGGTTCAAAGAGTGTAGAAATGTCAGCACTGTCCAATAAAAAGTCATGACACCCACCGAAATCCTTCCAGGTACGTGAAGGCGCCTCTTCATGTGTCTCGTCGTGACAATGTGGCGGGTCGTGTCGAGATTAACTATTATCACTACTACAGATCAATTTCATACCCCTCATATAGAAGATAAAATAATCCATGCAATACAGTACATGTGCTGGCGATAAATGGTATCGAAAGAATACAGAAATCGTGCCATTAAAGAGGAGGAGCGAAATTACGGAGACAGTGGTACCAAAGTTACAGCAACACGAATAGAAAGTTTACACGAACACAGAAGTAATAAAAAAGAGATTCAGTTAAACAATCACTGGTACAATTAGTCATAACAATGAACGTGAATATTAACTCAACCGCGTTCTCTTCATAAAAGTGGATTCACTGCAACAGCCCTCCATTAGAAGTGGTCTACACTTTCCTTACGTAACGGCTTCGTTTGAAGGACTGATCGGTAAAACATGCGATTGTAGGACGGAAGGGTTGACGAGTAGTCACCGAAGGTCTTTTAAAAGGAACGGTTTTAGGATTAAAGTGTCGTGTTTGCTGCTCGAGTTGGCGTGCCACATCAGCGCAGCTCGTATCCAGAGTCTAAATATTGCGTTCGTAGTGGTCCGGACAAGAAAACGTTGGATGGAGTCTCATAGAACCAACAAACCAGAGGCGACCTTAACGACCAAATTCGAGACCATTCGTATGCCAGATGTAGTCGGAGCCAGAACATTGAATGGGTGCACTGACAACTAACTGATCCCTCTGTGCCATGGGAAAGTACAGGACCCTCAACAGTACGCATGTACATACATAAACTTAGCCTACAACCAGTAGTCATTCGGCTCCCTTCAGGAGACAAAACTTCAGCACATCTCCCACCACCCTTTCTTTCATACGTACCACCACTATTCCTACTAGACCATCTTCCTCCATTCCGTACTTGTCGGCCAATCCGATTGGCCACGAGCCCCAAGCAGCAGTGTCGTCAACCATATCTGCCGCCTTTAGGTTCCTATGTTTACCAAACCATTTCCGTCGCACTTGAAGTAACGGGAAATATTCCTCCAGCCACAACAGCTGAATGGTGTTAGAAGAAACGTTTACCTGTCTCTTCCAATGTCTATTTACAATAGTAAATTCCATTCGTACACCATCACAATCTCTTAGAAGCAGCAGAGCGTTGGGTGTGAGAGCGAGGTCGTTGTTGCATACTAAATCACCGGAACGACAGTGGTTATTCAAAAGCCGTCTTGTTTCCAAAAAGTAGGTGACTAAGCTATCATCTCAGAGGACTTGCTAGTTACTAATCACTAGCAGGATTCTTCTAACAAAGAGTATCTAACGTTTCCAAACTACAACTCCATCCCTAGATAGTGAGTGATTGAAATGCAATGTTTCCCCTTCAATGTTACGAAGTCATTCAAACCATGTTTATTTAGTATACATAATATTTCGCAACTCCTAAGTTTATATTGTCATTGTAGATTTTCATCAGAATCGAGCTCCTTTCCATAAAGCGCATTAAAGCCATGATGAAAACCTCCGTCTTTACACTGAAAACTACTTCTAGGTGTATAGCATGCGTTTGAAAATCCGTAAATATACTGTAGTGGAACGCTTCTACGAAGAAAATACGATTTGTGAACAATAAACATTATTGTACTTGTTTTGTTTAACTGTACCAAAAGCACTTCTTGCACGCAACGTTCTCTTCGCGTTTCTGCCATTTTTCTTAACTTGCTGCTCCCCATGTAATGCCTACCTTCTCCTTCAATAAGACACTAAACCATGGATTTCTTTTGATATATATGACGGGATAGTATGGAACATTTAGTGGTGATCATAGTCAATCTGGTATCTCTCACCACTAAAATACTATCAAGGTTTTTCTTTCCACTCCCACCATTTCTTCTTTAATTGCATTACCTGCGGCTAAATTAATGCCAAGACCATCGTTGTTTATCAAAAGTAAATTTGCGTATATACATTTCTGCGAACATTGTTTCTTTATCTGTTTACTGCTTTTTGGAACTTAATTGTTCACTGCTCACTTTTTTTTGTTACAGTCTCACTTACACTCGCTTATGTATTAAGTACTCTGGAAAGCAGGTTTCTTCTGTTCCTGTCCATCAAGTGGCATTAGTGAAGAAACGCCTAGAGAACGCAGTCGTAAAGTTGGATCACTTTCTAGCAGAGAAAATCACCTGAAAATCTGGTGTATCAGCAACCGTCAAGGAGCTCATAGTATGTTCAATGCTGCTGTGGTTGCTACTACAGTAAAAACTGGTTGATGGGTAAGAATTAAGAGATTGAAATGACCTAATATTGTCAAAATATTTCAGGATTATCGACGCTTATTTTAGTATTAATGCAATCAAGTAACGTAAAACTCATTCCAGTTTTTATTATACCATATCAAAACAGCTATATCAACATGGAAGTAGTAAAAGTGGTATTTAGTAGTATCTCACTGGTAGTGAGAACGATTATGGTATAAGGAATATAATTCCAAAACAAAGGATTAGCTCATTGTATCAAAGATATGATCTTATTTTAAAACTGAAGATCTAAGAGGAATGCATCTACAGTACTGCATCTGATTTTATATGTTTAGTAGTCAAGCATAACAGCTAACCAACAGTTATCGAATGTATCACAGTATTTATTTTCCTTAGCGATGATTATATGTCAAATTGGCATGTATCATGACAACTTTTGCATCAACCTGAACTACATGTTAATGTCTTACAATAATCTTGTCACAAATTTATTAAAAAACTGTGACTTCACACTGTTTATATGTAGAATATATCTTCGGGACAGATAATACTGTGGTGCGAGCTACTTATAAGTAGTATATGACGTGAGTGTCAACGTAATGTCTGGCAGCAGAAGATGAGGGAAGATCAAGAAAGGAAGTTAGAAAATGTACTAATGCATAATGCATATCAGCTGTAACTTAACAAATGAATGCAGTTTCTTCAAATAAGCACATTGATAAGGGTAGTAGTAGTAGTAGTAGTGTGGTGCACGCTACTTATAAGCAGTATATGATGTGAGTGTCAACGTAATGTCTGGCAGCAGAAGATGGGGGAAGATCAAGAAAGGAAGAGTTAGAAAACAATGGAACTTGTATGTAACGCATGAATAGTAGTGACAATGGATTGATGTTGTTTGCAACAGGAACAGTCCAGTTCGATATGATGTACTGACAATTTGCAAATGAACAATTTACGATATGGTTTCCCGATTTTACTAAGTAACTCTTTAATTTCGCTAAATACAATTCGGTTGCCCCACCTGTGTTCTCGTTCACTTTATTTGGTGTCGCTGCCTGCTCGGAGGAAGGAGCTCCCGTGGCCGAAGGAGTCGGAGGACGGAGATTTTCGGAGCTTCCTGGAAGAGTTTGAGGCTGCGGTGGAGCTGGTGGGGGCCCGAAGCGGAGTTGACGGTGCTGGGGACGCTTCGGGGAGGTAAGACGAAGGCGGTATACGACAGCCTTGACGGTGCCGCCGGGAAGACGTCGTGGGAGACGGTCGCCGGGCGGCTGATGACGGAGCTCGACAGCCCGGTGAACAGAGAGCAGGCGCCTCAGAGGTTCCGGTTGGCGAGGCTGTCGGCTGGTGGTGACCCGTTGGTGCTGGCTGTGGAGTTCCCGATGTTGCTGCACCGTACGCTGACGAGTATGGATGGGGATTCGGGGGCACAATTTTCGGCGTCGCAATTTATCCAGAGTGTGCCTGCCGCCGTATTTCAGCAGCGGGAACTAGTAAACGCTACACGTTGGATAGATGCCGTACCCATTCCATACCAGCGGACAAGAACAATGACCGAAGTGGTAATCCGGCATATTGTAGCGTGTCACGGAATACGGAAGGTGATATTAACTGACCAGGGTCCCTGTTTTGAAAGACTACGACGACAGCTTATTAAAAGGGGGGACGAGTGTGGTGTGAGCTACTTATAAGTAGTATATGATGTGAGTGTCAACGTAATGTCTGGCAGCAGAAGATGGGGGAAGATCAAGAAAGGAAGAGTTAGAAAACAATGGAATTTGTATGAAACGCGTGAACAGTGACATTGGATTGATGTTTTGCAACAGGAACAGTCCAGTTCGATATGATGAACTGATACTTTGCAAATTAACGATTTACGATATGGTTTTACAATTTTACTGAGTAACTCTGTAATTCGGTTTCCCCACCTGTGTTCTCATTCACTACAATATCATTAAAGGAAAAGTAGTCTCTTTAATACCAGCTCAGAAATCGCACAGTGATAATATTAACAGCTTGTTCATCTTTAGTAGGGACAAAGAAGGAGAAAGCTCTAATCCCAGAAGTTGCTTTGAGCATGACGTTGAGTTCATTAGAGTTCTACTAAATCAGCAAATACCTTGATCTATTTCTGAGGTCGTTTTGCTGAAAGGTTATAGACTGGGTAGCCTAGTAAACTTGCAAGAAAACCTAACTACATTGCCGAAATTAAAACCCCCAGTTGTCATATTCATTATCTTCATATTAGATAACCGGACGCAAATGAAGCCATACGAACAAGAATGTGGGCTAACTAGCGCATATAGTAGTAATACATAACCAAAGTATAATGCGATTGAAAGGATATAGCTTCACTGAAATAATAGTAGTATTGGATCAATACCGGAATTATACCTCTTTCAGTAGGTTTGTATTCATATTGAGAATGGCACTTAAAGCAACCAGTAATTCTATCATAATAGAAGAATTTCTAGATATTATATTCTGGTGAAATAAACCTAGGAATGCAACAGACTGGTATAATTTCCATTACATGGAAATAAATCCAAACTTTCCAGTGCCAATCATTCTGGAATATTTATACATCGACTCAATAAAAAATATGATTAACAGATAGATAAGAAGACAAGAAACCAGATACAAGAATATTGGAGAGATCCACACATAAGGTGTTTGAATCGAACGGACAACGGAATTGGATTAATGTGTTGTGATCTACTTTTATGAAGAGAACGCGATTGGTTTAACAGAAACGTCCATTAGTATGACTAATTGTACCCGTGATTGTTTTCCTAAACCTCTTTCTTTGTTACACTCTGTACGCGTGAAATTTCGATTTGTGTTGCTGCCACTTTGTCTCCGCTGTCTCTGTGATTTCGCCCCTCCTCTTTTCTGGCACGATTTCGGCATCATTTCGATACCACAAAATCGCCAGCTAATATATTCTTTTGTGCAGATTACTTATCTTCTCTGCGACGGGCACGTAATTGGTCTGTAGTAGTGATCATAGTCAATCTGGACTCGACAGGCTACAAATGCATTTGGCAGTCACACCTTACAGTAAAATGAGCATATATTTTGAGATGGTGGAGAAAACTTGTAGCTCAGGTGGATGGTTGTGGAGCTTTCATTGTTCTTCTGAACAACATCATCAGCACAAACTTCAGATAGAAGTGAAGCATTAGAATTTCTCCACGTTTGACCTGTAGCTTGTTCAAACTGTGAAAAACACTACATAGGACAATGTGGACGACCTCTTCAGCTCCGTTTACGTGAACATCAATTAGCAGTCAAACGCCACGACAACGCTTCGCTTATATCAATACACACCGACAATTATGGACACACATTTGATTGGAACAACGTGGAAATACTGGGTAGGGGGAGGACAAAGAACACTAGAGAATTTTTAGAAGCTTGGCACTCAGGTCAATTAGCGATCAACAAACACATCGACATTGACCCAATTTATCAATTAATCAGGAAAATCATAGGTGACACGGGATCAATAAACAGATCAAAAGAGGGAGGCAATCAAAACATAGTTGCAAACAACGACAGGTCAAAGGTCAAAAACAACCAATCAAGATCGAGGTTAGCAGAACAAGCTACAGGTCAAACGTGGAGAAATTCTAATGCTTCACTTCTATCTGAAGTTTGTGCTGATGATGTTGTTCAGAAGAACAATGAAAGCTCCACAACCAAAACAACCAGCTCAGAGAACGAAACACCACCATGAGCATATATCATCTACAATAAAAATAACTGTATGAAATAACATAGCAGTGTCATTTGCAAATAAGGAGTATCTGATTCGGAAGTGAGGGTATAAATTAGTAAAGTAGGGTCAACACTTTGACAATGCAAGGTTGTCTGACTGTGAAACTTAAGTCTTGAATTTGCTCTCAGATATGATCATGGATATGCACTATTGATATGCCTCGTATTAAGACAAAGGAGTTGTCCATCACTTCCAGGTGGTTGATGATTCTTTAACTAAGATTAAAGTGATATGAACTATACAATTCCACAGTCTGAACAATCTACTTAGTGTAAGAAAAGTTGTTATTTACCAATCACTTAAATGTGTGGCTGTTGGGGTGATTGCCAGGTGAAAACTACCAAACGAATCAAAACCAGCGATAATCCAGTTATAGAATAACAATATTTATTGATTAGAAATCGCGTGATATCAAAATGATATCACGTGTTCAGCCAGACAGCGAAATAACAAGAACGATCAATAAAGCCACAGGGTTGGCGCTTGAGTTATCGTTTTTTGTACAGATTTACAAAAGGTGTACAATAAAACAGTTATTGTTACACATGTTCAATAAGTAATATTTATATGTCAGCAATTATGTTTTCTTCACAAAATAGTTCCACTACAAATTCTCCATTATAACAATTGTTTTTGTTCAAAAAAATTGTATTACTTTTTTGAATAAACACGGATTTCTTGTTCAAAAACACAGTAATTTATTAAAGGTGATTAAATCAGTTTTTAGTGCCTCCACATACACTTGAGTTCGCTTATATTTAATTTGGTTAAGCCTTTCGATTAACTTATTTAACCAAGCCACTTGTTTAGCAACAACTTATATGTATCATTGGTTTTTAATATTATCTGGTTTGTATGAACCGCTACGACAGAATATTGCTTACGTCTACGCGCATATCCATCCTATTCGGTTTAATGTTAATCTCTTAAATATCTCGATGACTCGGCATTTCCCTATGCATATATACGAACATTTTAATCTTAGTAATTCATTCACTAACTCGCTTGCCCTGCTCTGTGTGTTTGTGGTCTGCTGGTCCATTTTGTGATGTGTCAAAAATAAACGTATTCAACCCCCGGTGTTTGCCTTCTGATTTATAACCATCAAGCGCTATTTGGTAATGATTGCCCCAGACGAGAAAATTACGAAGATTAAGAACATGTTGAATATCAACTGTCACGAAACTAGTGATTCATTGGCCACCAAAAGTTTGTAGGAAAGAATTAGTGATTTTATCAGATTACTAAATTATGTTCATGCGTTAATATTGGACTAGCAAGCAACTGATAATTTACACGACATCCAACTAACAATTAACATTTTGCCGTGAAACATCGATACGTTAATGTTGAGAAATAGACTAAATATTTCATTTCATTTTAATTGTTTATGGTTGATTAAAACTAGACGATGAAGACTAATTCCATGTATTAAGTATCATATTCATTTCAAAAACTACTACATAGAACAATGATATTGTATAAACAAATACACACTTCTTTTCGAATTAATTTTTTTCTCAACACGAAGACAAAACATGTGACTATTGTCTTAAATATAGTTATAGTCAAGCAAGTTCGTGCAGATTGTCAAGAACAATGAAATAAATACCCTAAAAGAAATTATCACTGCAACAAATAAATATCGAACTCCTTTATTTTACCTCATAATACTGATGGCATAATTTTCAGTTATAAACTTAATGATGAAAATCTTTAGATGTACAGTGATATGACAGGATGTATCATCTTTTGTATGGTTAACTGAAATTCTATTTAGAAAATCTGAATTAACCATCAATCTGTGCATTAAAACCAAATAACGTGGTAATTTACGGACTTGATGATAGAGGAGTATAGTGATGATGAGTAGCTGATGGTTATTTAACTAGCCTATAACTTTCATAGAATGATTCATTTGAACTGAATAAGTCAAAATCTATCAAACTCAAATGATCCTTGGCGGTGAGTTCCGAAAAATAGGAAATCTAGACACATGATTTCCTTCTGATTAGTATTTACTTCTAAAATTAGGTTCATATCGATCAGTTTCAGTTAAATTTTAAAAGAATTGATAGGAATCTGAGAATTCAGTAGAATTAAACAGTGAACAAGGTCTCCGCGACTGACTACTTATTTTCCTGTATAATAATCGATGATTTCTCCACTTAAAGTCAATTAAATTGTCAAGCTAACAAGTATTTCAGACGAAGAGATAAACTTTTGCAGTGAACTAAATAGTTTGATAGTGTATCCAGATATATTGACGGAGTGGATTAGTTAGAGTTTTCTGACAATTTTAATTGATCTCTTTCAAGGTAAATAGATAGGAAACTCAGCAATCGAACTCCTTGTGAACAATGTTCATCCAAATAAATTCGGCGACCAGCCAGCTACAAGATCAGCAAAGTGTTGTTAGAGACATTGAACTCTTCTTAGTATTGACACTCATTTAAAAAAAACCCGAACTAACTAGACGGAAAAAACTTATGGACCTTTTCTTTCACCATGATCCTGACCCCTATTTTTATAAACTTGCTAACCTCCTTTGTATCTTACTCCATTGACCTTTTACTTCCAACCAACATATTTTTTCCCCATGTCACCATTTATTACACTATCTCGACATCAGCATTTTAATATAGGGTTTTATGGAAAATTTTCATAGTTATTAATCGTTATCGATCTTCTAGGCGAATGTTCAAACACTTAAGAACTACATCTTCAATTTCGTACCTGGTCAGTATGTCACTTAGAGAAAAAGGTAAAGATTTGCGACGATACATATTGGAAAATTAACTCCCCCAATTTTTTGATTATTCCACTTTCATTGTCTTAATGGGCATACTCTGTCCATTTAATCAAAAATAGCCAAAGTGAATGCTGTCTTGTGACCGCTTACCAAAATTACGTGATAAACAACCAGTCAAGATCCCGACTGTAATTCGGTAGATTTCGCGTCAACTTTTACTCCATAACTTAGTATCTCTGACTTGGCCAATGATATGTCTACCCAACACTATAAACCTTGAATCACAGAAAGAATTTCTCATGGTCTAATGTGCGTCAGTTCCTATGCACTTGCTCTGAGTCCAAAAGCCAAAAACCAGCCTGTTCTATACCTATATATCACACGGATATAGTTTATATATACACACAGGCAAGACCACATCACACTAAAAAATGAAAAATAACGATTAAACGTGGATGAGCCAAAAAGTGACTGTGTATAGGACAGACTAATTAATCGACTGACGACAAACTAGGATTATTAAATTGTGTAACCGTCGTTAATGAGTCAGCCAAAAGTTTATGACAAATTCAATTTATAAACACACTGACTTAGTTACTATAAACCAAAATTATGATTAAAAATGACACAAAGGACCAGTCCTAATATAATTGTTCCGTTACAACGGCGAGCAAGCGAATGAATGCCCCTGAAATCCACTGTTTCCCTAGGAGCTAAGCGTTTGAGAACTATTTTTATGTTAGGTATATCTCTCTACAAGACAAATATACCAAATAATCTTCGCTATCTAGGTGGTCAATAACCATGGCAAGTAGAATCAGAAGCAAGACTTAGAAACTCAGAGAAAACATTGGTTAAGAGTGGAATTATATAGTACAATTAATATTAAATATTAATCATTCGTTGCGTTTATTTAAAGACCTACTGTTTTTAAGCTTCATCCTGAATAAAAGTAAATAAACTATCAAGTGCAAAGAATTGAGTCTGAACTTATGGAAACATCCAAAATAAGATAATTCAATATAACTTTTCCTTTGGTTTCAAGAGAAAACCCTCGCTGAACAATAAATAGGATTTTTAAACTCAGTAAATTCATCAGTCACAGCAACTAAGAACTTCATAAGTAAGTACATCAGTTCAAGTTGCCAAACCACATTAGCACAGAGATGTTATTGAAAATTCAAATCCCTTGGCAGTAGAAGTAGTAAAAGTATTAGCAGTAAAAATACAGATAAGAGTTCGGAGATAATATTCAAGCAGTATAATTCAGTGAGATAATTTTAGGAGAAAGATAGAGGTTAAGACTTGAGAGAACACAAAGAATGTATACACCTTCTCCTGCACCACAAAACAGTTCGACGAGGTGGTCGCTGTTCAGGCATACGTAACACATGTCCAAACCAACTCAACTGACGAAGTTTCAATACTTCATCTATTGACCTGCCATCCTTAACTAGTATCTGTTTCCTAACAGCATTGCTTACTCAACTGTTCCAGGATACACGATCAACGCTTCGAAGACACCTATGATCGAAAACCAGTAACCTACGAATAATATCTACTGTCACTGGCCATGTTTTGCAGCCATAAAGTAGGATGGAGCGAACTACTGCGCAGTACAGTCGTGCCTTTGTGAGCAAACGGATATCTCACCTACGCGATAAGTGACGTAGGTTGGCAAGAGCCAATCGAGCCTTCTGTATCCGTGCTGAGATTTCGTCAGTCACCAGGCCATCAGCACTGATGAGACTCCCCAGATAAGTGAAGCGGTCAACACGCTCGACTACTTCACTCCCTATCACTAGTTCAGGTGCCGATGTAACCCAATCTTGAAGCAACATTTTACATTTCGAGGGTGAGAACCGCATCCTGAACATGCTTGCATTGTTGCTTAGGGTGGCCAGAAGACTGCATTTTGTCAGCGTCTTCACCAAGTAGGACTATGTCATCGACATATCCTACGTCACTAAGCGGTTTTCCTAGTAGAAAGTCGACTCCTGAAAATTCAGACGATGATAAGGTTACATCTAGCAGCATGTCTATGACAACATTAAACAAGAATGGAGAGAGTGGACATCCCAGACGGACACCACTTGAAGTAAAGAATTCCGATGACAGTTCGCCATAAGCTCTCACTCGACCAGTGGTATTCGAGTAGAGAGCTTGTATGAAACGTCTTTCCTGATCCCCTGAAACTTTGACTAGTACAAGAACTTTGGTACATTCTAAACACTACTTTGCCTGAAAGTCAGTCATTCCCAAACAACAGCTAAATCGAAATAGTAATGCATTAGGAAATGGCGAAATAGCGTGAAACATTGTACTGCCAATGACGATGAGAGATTACAGGCTGAGAACAGATAAAACGAGTGGCAGTGAGATAAATCTGAAATTACTCTTCCAGGTCAGCATCACTGAAAATATATGAGACGACTATTTTATCTTTCTATTTAAAGGACAGGTAAATCATTTACCTAAACAAGATTTATGATTAGCATGGAAGACGTTACTGCTACGAAAAGGTGGACAAGGTGTGTAGTTTCAAATAACATCATAATATGTTAAGTCTCATTTCAACAATTATCTGTCCCATCTTTTTTCACAAGTAACGCTATCTGTGAATAGAATTACGAACGATACGCTTCGGGTAGAAGTCTAAAAGTATGAAACATGACATTATATGGATTTATATGCACGTAAATTTACAAAGTAACAAGTTTTTAATGATAATACAGTTAAAAAAATACTGCATTAGTTGGCAACCTGGACCAGTGTGATCGTCTCTCCTTTCAAGAGAATTCTTCCTGCAAGAAGGAAAGTCGTATTAAAATAACGATACTAACCTAAAGGTTTTCTGGCTCCAGATTTCATATGCTTCTCACAAGCGTCAGCCAACACCAGATTCATATACTCGTCAAAACCCTTTGCATAGTAATAAGCAATAATTTACTAACATACAATTATCACTCCTTCTATTCTCATGTTACACTGTTCATACAACCAAACCCTTACGCGTGCTTTCTGTGAAAAATTACGTATATTGATTTTTTAAGAATATACCTTTTGCAAGTAATTGTAAACCACACCCTAAAGAAACCAGTAAGTGTATAAAAAGAAAACTTACAATCGGGGGCTGGATAGCTTTATGAGATCTTCCACCTTCTCTGTGCATCGTGCCTAGATATTTGTTTAAGCGCTTAAAACCTCTTTCACATCCTCAAATTCAACATTCAATATCAAATGTCTTTTTCTCGAATTAGTATAAACCAATAGATTTCTTTCCCGTCGATTCTTGTTCTTATGGTATTCGGTAGTGTCCGATGGATGGAAGTCTAGTCACTTGAAGTCTGGCTACCTAGTTTAATTGATTGGTGAAGTTAGTGTTAAGATCTCAGACATCTCTAGGTTAGTAATATCTTCACCATTCTAACCTTTAAAGGCGCAAAAACCCTGGTTCGTAGAGTTTTTTATTCGCGACTGGAAATAGATATTTAGGGTTTGTTGACAAATCGGCATCTAGCTTCGTCTTGAGGTGCCTTTTATCAGTTCGAACCTTGGCACTACATCTTTTTCCCAATGCCAAGTAAGGAATACTGTCAGAAGCTTTTGGACAGACCTTTCACTAGTTTCAGACTGTCTTCCATTTCTGTTTCAGGCGTTCAGTGCCTCGCTAGCCAGTTTCATTTTCTTTCTAGTTATGTGATTTGCCTGGGGTACATTATGTAAGACAGAATTTTAAATGATGTCTCTTACAGCTTGCCGGTGGTCATCTATTGTTAGCCTACACCATTTCCGAGGATGTGGGGTATGCAGAGGATGCTCTCTCATGCAAATGTAGTTTCCCCTGATGTAGAGAAGGTAGGGCTTGTTTTCACCCCTCCTGACCATATCAAACATGACTGCGTCATGGCCGCTACTTCTCATTGGTGCGTGGACTAGGATATTGTTGACCAGGATCTGGTCATCTGTTAGTAAATGATCCACGTTTGGGGGTTTCCATTCCTAACCTATCCAGTGGCTTTGCATACATGCTCGGTCATTCCGCCAACATAAAAGGCTGTGCCCATTCGCCTGTGGAACCAACGTACAGTAGTTTTACCCTATTTTGCTGAGATTTAGACATGGAGCATTGAAGTCTCCAGCTAAGAATATTTGATCAAAACGAAGGATTAGCGGCTGCAGTATCGCCTCAGTCATTTTATTTTTCTGGGCCTTAGTACTTTACGGGAGGCCGATAAATCCCTCAAATCAGGTAATGTGTTAAAGCAACACAAGCATTATTCCTTCATAACGGATAGCTTGGTGCTGTGTAGCGTAACGACCCTGAAATGGCTGTTTGTATATAGCCAACCCGCCTCCTGTCATTTGTAACCTATCTCATTGGAAGAGGGTCATGTCGTGCTTAGTTTCTCGTCTGAAATGTCGAGGGATAGTCATGTTTCCGCCAGGATTACGATCTCAGATCGATCTGAGTGTACGTATTCCTGATCTCTTCCAGCTTATTCCTCAGTCCTCTTAGGTTGCTATGTACGTTTTTGGCAGTTTGTCTCATCACCTGGTGCACCTCTGGTCGGTTTTTCAAACAGGTTTTTCGAAGAGAACTGGCCATTTCTGTGAATACAGGCCTCCTCTGGTATTTGTTTATGTAATATATTCATTGGGCGAAACTGTGACCTTCATGTCTTGTGCTATGAGATTTTGATCGAGGCTGATGGACATTAGTGTGTGGATATGATGACCTCCTTGTTGTTGTCTCACTGATCGGCAATCGCAATATCCAATGTGACAAGAGAGATCATTCTCCATTTTGTACCAATCTTGAAGTGTCTCAGTTTGGTCTTCCCAATTTCTGAAGTTCACTTCCATCAGACGTGGAGACTCAATCGTTGTGGGATGTGATGGGTGAGGCAGTCGGGCTACCCTAGTTGTCCTGAAGGAATGAATTCATGTGCTACGTGACAGCAACCGCCATTGTTGAACATCACGTGAGTGAGCTCTATCCAAGTTACCGCCAACCAGCTCGAGCACTCCGTGAACCACCAAAATGGTTTGCTCGTAGATGCCTTTTCATGTCCCGGCAGATGTCCGTACTAGCCACGCCTCGTCGAGCTAGACTCGTGTCGGGGAAGAGAGTTTATTAGAAGGTCTCTGAGATGTCAGGAGGATTTCTTCGACAAGTTGTGCCGAGCATAAAGTTACGATAAGTGGACAACTGTTAATAAACACTTGTATCTTGTGAATGACTGCTTTCGTAGTTCTCCAAGTTTCCGCTACATACAGTAGAAATGTCTTCACATTTGTATAGAAAATCCTAATTTTGGTTTTGGTTGAAAGTTGTTTGGAGTTCCAGATATTTTTCAGTTGTACAAATGCAGCCCTTGCTTTGCCAATCCGCGCCTTCACATCTGCATCGGATCCACCTTGATTGTCGATGATGCTGCCCAGATATGTAAAGTTGTTAACGTCCTCGAAAGCATCTCCATCAAGAGTGATTTGGTTGGTGCATGTTGTGTTGCATCGGAGAATTTCGCTTTTTCCTTTATGTATGTTGAGACCTACTGCTGCAGAGGCTGCTGCTACACTGGTGGTCTTCTCTTGCATTTGTTGTCGCGTGTGCGATAAAAGAGCCATGTCATCTGCGAAGTCCAGATCGTTCAGCCACATCCTAGCTGACCATTTGATGCCATGCTTCCCTCCAGATGTTGACGTCTTCATAATCCAGTCGATGACCAGGAGAAAGAGAAAGGGTGAGAGTAAGCAACCTTGCCTGACACCGGTCTTCACCTCGAAAGAGTATGTTAGCTGTCCTCCGTGCACGATTTTGCAGTTGAATCCATCATAAGAATTCCGTATGATGTTAACGATTTTCTTAGGCACACCGTAGTGTCGAAGAAGCCTCTACAGTGTTTTCCTGTCCACGCTATCGATTGCTTTCTCGTAGTCGATGAAGTTGATGTAGAGTGGTGAGTTCCATTCAATTGATTGTTCCACAATGATCCGTAATGTAGCAATTTGGTCAGTACATGATCGATCCTTACGAAATCCGGCCTGTTGATCTCGAAGTTGAACGTCTACGAAGTCCTTCATTCTGTTTAACAATACTCTGTTGAAGAATTTTCCTGGTATTGAAAGAAGAGTGATGCCACTGTAGTTCTCACACTTGCTGAGATCGCCTTTCTTTGATATTTTGATGAGTGATCCTCCTTTCCAATCTGATGGTACTTGTTCATCATCCCAAATCTTCTTGAAGAGGATGTGAAATATTCGCAGTTGCTTCCAGCTCTGCTTTCATTGCCTCTGTTGGAATGTTGTCTGGTCCTGCTGCTTTGCCACTCTTGAATTGTCTGATGGCCATGCTGATCTCTTAAATGGTAGGTGCCCCAACATCAATTGGGAGGTCCATGGATGCTGCTTCGATGTTGGGTGTGTTCAGTGGAGCTGGTCGATTCAAGAATTCCTTAAAGTGCTCTATCCACCCATTTCGCTGTTCTTCAGTGTTGCTGATTACTTTCTGTTGGGATAGCCAATCGAGAAGAAAGCCACGCACATTGTGGATTGATTAACTATATGAATAATGTTCTTGATGAACTATTTGATTAATGTTCATGATAAACTATTTGATTAATGCTGAACTATATGATTAGTGTTCATGATGAACTATTTGATTCATGTTCAAAATATTTAACGACATTTATATAATTGTATAAATACGCATGTTTGATTGTACATTTTTGATTCTGACAATAAGCGTTCTCCAACGTCTTCCGTCTTCTTATTTTTGAACGGAGGGGTCTAACGTTCGGGTGTCATTAGTACAGTGGTTTCGCGTTACATCAAGTACAAAACATAAAAATTTCCTTTCCTTGCTTTTCACTGGTCGTTCTGGTTTACGATAGTTTCCAGCGAGCTTCTTTGTTGTATCGTACAATTGTCTCAAGTTTCCTTCTCTTGCAGCCTTTTCCGCCGTCATTGCTGGATCGTCCACATATTTTCGTTCGTCGGCTCTGATGCTCTTCTTCACTTCCCTGTTTGCTTCTGTGTATGCAGCTTGTGCGGTAACTTTCTCCGCTCTTGTTCGGCTGACATTGATTGCTGCCTTCTTGTTCCTCCTTTCTTCAATTTCTGCAAGAGTATCAACAGAGATCCATTCCTTGTGATGGTACTTCTTGTGACCCAGAACCTCGTGACATGTTGAAGTGATTGCCTCCTTGATCCCTTTCCAACTGTTCTCCAATGTTGTGTCCTCTCCATTGAGTAGATCCTGGTGATGGCTATCTTGAATTCGTTGAGCTTTACGGTATTCCGAAGAAAGGCCGTATTAAACTTCTGTGATGTTGTCTGCCCCGTTGTCCAGTGCTTCTTTAGTTTCAGTTTCATTTTGGCGATCAGCAAATGGTGATCTGAAGCTATATCAGCTCCTCTCTTGGTTCTCACATCCTCCATAGTCCTTCTGAAGTTTTTGTTGATACAGATATGGTTAATTTGGTTTTGAGTAGTGTGGTCCGGTGAAATCCATGTGGATTTGTGACTGCGTTTGTGTGGGAATATGGTGCCGCCTATGACCAGTTTGTTGAGGGCAGATAGGTTTGCAAATCTCTCACCATTTTCGTTCCTTTCTCCCAGTCCATGTCGTCCCATGATGTCTTCATATCCAGTGTTGTCTATGCCAACTTTTGCATTCAGGTCTCCCATAAGAATCGTCAAATCCTTTGGTGAGCATCTGTTGACAATTTACTGCAGCCTTTCGTAAAACTGATCTTTGTTGTCGTCGTTGTAGTCATTGGTATGTGCGTAACATTGGATGACGTTCATTGTATCTTCCTCTTTCTTTGTTTTGAAGGATGCTTTGATGATCCTGGGTCCATGAGATTCCCATCCTATCAGTGCCTTTTGTGCATGTTTGGACATCATCAGTGCAACTCCTTGTGTATGTGAAGCATTTTCCTCTTCATGACCAGAGTATAACAGCAGTTCCCCTGAAGCTAGTCTTAGTTGTCCTACCTGTGTCCAGTGTGTTTCACTGATGCCGAGCTGCTCGAGGTTGTATCTTTTAATTTCTGCCGCAACTTGAAATAGACTTCCAGTCTCCCACAATGTACGGACGTTCCATGTACCCGTTGGCAGAAATGAAGACGTTTAGTTGATTAAAACCTTTATATAAATATCATTAATTTCACTGTGTTTTCTGGGTATATTTGTTTTACTTAACTTATGAACTTGTTTGAATTA